ACTCGGTGGTCTCCCATACCGACGGAATGACACAAAATACCTTACATTAGGTAGATAAACCACGTGTGCCTCAGAACAAGATTTTATGGAAGCTGACGGTCACCGGCAGGTACGCGGGTCCGTCGAGTCGAGCTCATTGGCATTGCCAAAGCAACCGAGTCAACAACAAATCGCCCAGGAGACGTTGTAATCTTTGCATCAAGCGGATTAATAATTAGTATTCGAGTCTATAACCTGATCTGGTAGTGTTCCCTTTTCATTCCTGGATACATCCATGAGCAACCTGCATTACACGGCCCCCAACACCTCATCCGCATTATCATCGTAGGACCCATGAGCAAGAGCAAGCCTGAGTACAATTAGCCATCGTATTCGGGTAGTACCTTCGTGTCGTATCGTGCATCTGGCCGTGAAGCAACGTACATGCAAAGAAGATTACGAAAAGCTGAACGACTCCTAAGCAGCCAGCGATGACTGTCGGTTCGTTTTTCGCGTCATGATCTTGGTGATAGCATGCCGAATCGTTACTCCAGCCTTCTCAACCTCCTTCTTAGATAAGCCTGACGTGATGCAAATCTTGAGCGCCGGCTTGATATTTACGTTCTCGGTTCCGATGCTGCCAATGAGCGGTATGCTCTTCAGCCTCGTGACAAGTACTCCGTTGGCGAGTGCCTATATTTCGTTAGTGGCAAGATATTAAGAGCGTGATAGCATGTCGGAGACCAACCTCGTCTACAATTTCGAGGAGGAGTCGCTCTTGGTCTTCGTTGGTCAGCTGTCTCGACTTGATTACTTCGACCTTGAACGCTAGTAGCATGACCGGATTTTCCGGATCACTCGTGCACTGAACCCAGTCGCTTCGAGGATCTAGCTGCGCTCTCATGGCTCGTATGTTCTCCCGGCATTGATGAAGAATTTCGGGGTTGCATTGCAGAACCGTCAAAGTCTCGCTTGCCGTAACGGCAGCCATGGCAGGTAGAGCGGCCGAGTACGTGTACGATGCGGCGTTGATGCGCTGGTGTCGCACTACGTCTTTCGAACCGGCGCAAAATCCACCGGCGGCGCAGAGAGGACCGGCCAGAGAGCCAATGATCATATCCACAGCTTCCGCGTCCACGTTCTGCGCCTCCGTGAGACCTCGTCCGTTGCGGCCGAGTACACCAAACGACCACGTTTCGTCGAGGGCGATGCGGAACTTATACCTCTCTTTTAATTCGACCTAGTCGTCCCAACAGTCGTTAGTTTGTCAATACAAGAGGGGTTAAATATGGATCCGAGGCAGAACGGCTTACCAGCTTGGGGAGGTTGGAGCAGTCGCCGACCATCTCGAAAAGACCTTCCGTCACGATAAATCGCCGAGTAACAACTCTCTTCGCCTGCTGCTCTTCGGCAACCTTCTTCAAGATTCGCTCCAAGTCTTCCATGTCGTTGTGTTCGTACCATCGAATGTTGCTTCGAGAAGCCTCCAGCCCCTTGCGAATCGAGTAGTTGACCATCTTGTCGGCTACAATAACATCTCCTCGCTTGCAGAAGGTGGGGATGACGCTGGAGATGGTCGAGAAGGCATGCGAGTACACGATGCTGCCCTGGGTGCCGAGGAAGGTAGCGATGTCATGTTCGGTGTTCATGTGGACGTCTTGGGTACCGTAGAACTGCGGCGGACCACAGGGACCGACTCCGTACGTGCGCAGGGTCTCGATCGCCTTGGCCTTGATGGATTCGCTTGCATTCAAGTTGTAGAAGTTGTACGAAGCTAGGTTCACAACAGTCTTGCCGTTGGATAGTTTGACCTTCGGACCAGTCGGCCTGCGCATTTGTCAACAGAAGTTGCCTTTTTTATATCACTAAACACACAATACCAATACCTACCCGACAATAATTGGTTGTTTCTCGGTCTCGGCCTCCTCGAAGGGGGTTTGGGGCGCGACAAGTGGTTCGGGCTCCCACTCCTTGACGAGCTCATCGATCTCATCGTCACGGAGCTTAACGTAATTGGGACCGTGGGTAGGGTAGGAGGGCGAGAGGAGATATCGTATGAAGAATATGACGAGCACAAGTTCTATAGCAGATCGTACGGGGTCGTTCTGGTAGCTCGACTGGATGTATCGTATTAATACGGCACTTCCGGGGACTTTTTGAAAGGCGTGGGACATTTCATGAAGCGAAGCCTGTAGGTAGGCTTGTGCCTCGTGGAGATCCATGTTTTATAAAGTTAATCTTATCAGTGTCAGACGGAAGACATTAGGGTTGGGGAATGGAATGTGTAGTAGATGAGAAGGAATCGTAGGAAGGATTCCGAGAGAAATCGGGAGGGATATTGCTAGGGGAAAGGTCGGCATCCAGATGTTGCAAGCTCAAATTGCCTTACCTAAGGCCTTACGGAATACCTGGTAGGTTAAAAGATTAGACTCCCGACCACCGACACGGTTCTAGCGGCTAGACGTCAGGGGTCCTAGGGCGCGTCAAATTATGTACTATAGTAATAATAGTAATATGGATGCCCTGGAGTACCTACGCGGGCCCCACCAATTGTCCGCTCCTTCCCATCCACGCCACACCGCAATGCAATGCAATGTACTAGGTTAGGTTAAGATTCAATCCATAAAACTCAACTTTACATAGTATTTACATACCAGGAGGTACGTATGTATTTACATGCATACATATCTAAGACGGTCACTTGCCAAGAATCTGATCTACGAAACCCGAAATCCCCAGCGGCCAGCCCGTCAAGCTTTCAGAGCTTTTACAAACGCAAGGCTTTCATTGCCTTCGACCACCTTAGAAATCGGGCTTAGGTAGGTCGTACCATTCTCCGATTCTTCGTCCTCTCCAAGCTGTCCAATGTATGATTCGGCCGCCTTGATCCACATCGCCTTCTCCGCCTTGCTAGCTCCCGACCCTTGCCAGACCCAGATACTACTGCTGGTATCGAGGAGGAAGACGTCGTTGCTATCCAGATCTGAACTGTCTATCTCAGCGCCTTCTTTCACCATGTCGAACTTCAACTGACCAGAGGCATCCGAGAGACGAAAGAGCCTACGGGGACGTTGACTAGCATTCGACGTCTTGGGCGAGACGATTGGTCTGGGGGCCGTCAACGGCTCCTCGGCCTCCCCGCCACCGAGCATAGCCACCACAGCACGCGACCTCGATTCTGTTTGCGACAAGACCTCGACATCGATGTGTTTCGCAATCGTCATATCATGAACAACTTGTGCCGCCTTCGCTTTTTCCATGGGGCTGCAATTTTTGCCCTGCCATACCCAGATCTTGTCGTTGCGTTCCAATACGAAGACGTCATTCTCGTCAAGGCTCTGCCAGGTAGGTTCAACCTCGTAGACCATAATCGAGTCGGCTCGTTTAGCTGCCGGGTGCTTGAAGATTCTGAGTAGCATGAGCGTTTCCTTCGGCTCCTCTTCTGTTTCGACGTGCGTAAAGCCGGAGCGGACTCCGCCTGATAAGATCCGGACACGGGAGAATAAAGCTACGAAATCCTCCGACGGCTCTTTTTGTAGTTCGCGGTGCTGCGTAGCTACACCACGTAGATACTCGTCAAGCTCGACGGTCTTGTACGCAGCCGTGCCCGCCTCGTCCTGCGAGGTCTTACTTCCAAGCCAGAAGAAGATATCGTGGGCTAACTTTTCTTGCCCATCGTTGCTCTCAACCTTGTGCGAGTGTAAGATGATATAGCTATCCCCTTCATGGAAGTCACCGTATTGGTTCTTCGGCCAAGCGACAACCTCGAAACTCTCTATCCGCCAGATGTAAAGTCCAGCTACTCCTCTAATCTCTTGCCACGCTGGCTCGGTGGCAGCCGATTTATACTTGACCTTATGATCAAGTTCCGTCCCGATGTTTTCAACATTGCTATCCCTCCAGTCGTACTCTTTCGTGTGTATTAAGCCCTTGTGTGGTACCATCTTGATGACTGGTTCTTATAAGGTAGTATTTGTAGATTGACGGCCTAGATATTTTCGGGGGGTAAAGCAGGAGTGGTTTGATAGTGAGGATTCATGAGATTGAATTGGCCACGCAGCGAATACATTTAGCAGGATCCTTTGACGTAATGAAGCTGACATCTTTTGAAACGCAAACAAGGCCAGGATGGCTGAAACAGTCCCGGCGCTTCTGGTATGTGTTATGAGAGACGTTACTTCAGCTATTCTCAATAGGCCGGCTACTCTATTTTCAAGCCCGACCATAGCTGATTGACTCATTGCTCTATTTTGATGACATCTTGCAGGTAGGCCAGGCTGCCAGGCTGCCAGGTAGGCTAATCTTGTGGGGACTAGCATCGGCTTCACAGTGGAAAACTTTTCCGTCATTTTCTCAGCTTCAAGCTTTCGATGCCGCAGTCCTCCAAAACAAACAACTACTTTTTCATTGCGAAAATATCCATCGTCCCATCTTTGCATCTCTAAATCAAGGCTACGTGAAATACGACGAAGACAGACACAAAAAGAACAAAATGCCCAGCAAAGACGCCACATCCCAGAGCTTCACTCCCTATTATCTCCAGCAAAGCACCAAGGAGTTCGCGGAGGACCTAGACAAAATTCGCAATGCTGATGACTTCAAAGGCGACGCAGTAGCTATGCTCGTTAAATCGCTGCAACAGGGCACTTCGTTGTTCTCTGCCGCCGACCAGGAGAGGGTCACCAAGGCTCATGAGTCTGAGGGTTCGGAAAAGAAATGAGAATGAAGCAGAAAAAACATAGCGTGCTATCATTGATTAATTGACCGTTTTATATGAAATTATTAGGAGGTAATGCACAAGGCGGAACTTGTATCATTATTTCAGAACTCTCCAGTATCAAAAAAGGAATGTGGCAATTAAGTTACCATAGAGCCAAAAGACGAATTGGACATGAGCAAGCGAATAATTATGACTTCTCCCAGGATCAAAGTCAAGCTACGCCGACACCCCAAAAAAAAAAAAAAAAAAAAAAAAAAAAAAAAAAAAAAAAAAAAAAAAAAAAAAAAAAAAGAACAAAATGCGACATGTGCAGGATTTGAACCTACGCGACCGAAGTCATGAGATGGCTGAATCATGATAGTCAGATTCAAGTCTCACCCATTAACCACTCTGGCAACATGCCTTGGTTTTGTTACGAAGACGTGGGTCTTATAATGCTATATAATCCACACCACCCTGGCTCCAGGGCCGCATACAGTAAGCAACGATGTAGCCGTACTGTGCTGCTTAATCTACCAGATGGACATGCAAACCAATTCTATCACGCTCGCGAGAAAGCACGCCACGATGATTTTTTGGTAGTATGAGGATCAGTTATACAAACCGCATCGAGGAGGCAAGTTAGGCATGGAGCTGGCAAGGCTTTCACTATGATATATCAATGATATTGAAAATGATAACGCTATGCCATCTCTAAGATATCAGTTAGAAACATCAGGACGAGCATCGCTGATTTGCACGATATCAGACTTCTTCCGAAGGCCGACTCCGTGTAAGCCAACTTATACAGGTGACTAATGATACGGGGTAACCTGGCTATGCGGATCAGGCAGATCAGATAGACTGATACTACAGCGAACCATGGGTACTACTCCGTTATCATACCTATCCTTATGATTTGGCTGAGTGGTAGAGACCAAATCAGGGAGGCTCATCAAGTGTTAGTCGTGATGCCTTATGCCCGGAACCAAGTTTTCAATACGGTGGCAAGGCTCGCTGTTGTCGAGCTGAAGAGATGCTAATTATCGAAGAAACAGAAACAAAACCAGAAGCAGCTATTATTCATGTATTTTAATAAGGGCATCCTGGTGTGTTCGTCTAGCCACTAACGAAGAAGCAATAGAACGAACACAAACTGAGAAGTCATTATGCACATCCTTACTCCGACAATGTGAAATCTCGAAAGGAGGGTGTCACAGGTAACGCCGCCAACTCCAAGTGGTATGCCTCATGAACATCATTGCGCTACAAAATAGGGCGGCGCATTGTCCCGAAATCCTAGAAACTCTCCCCCCCCCCTCTGGTAAACCTCACCAAGGAGCCTAGCATTATACATCGAGATAAAATGGAATGACCATAAGAGCCCATATGTACGGCTCTTGCAATTTAAGCATGATCTCTCCTCAGTCGGGAGATCTAAACGTCATGGACCATGTGAGGTATGCATGGTTAATTCGGGTGGCTCTAGCGCCGAATATCTATGCTCGCACGAGACGATTCAAGGGACGGGCGAATCGAACTACTAGAACTTCTTCGCCTTCTCGCTCGCTGCTCGCTAGGATCGGAGGGGTTAAGACCCGTCGACTTGGCGAACAAGTTGAGAATATCCGTTAACGTAACGACACCGATTAGGCGTCCCGATAAGTGAGACCCAGGCAGGGTAGAAGCGGGAGGAACTGAAGGGAAATGACTTCCGGTGAAAGAGGTCTGCGAAGAAGACGGAGTCGGAACAAATACGGTAGGTCCTAGCGATGGAGTCCCGGGGGCCGAAGGAGACGGAGAGGCTGATTCTACTATCCACATTCTGTGTGAATGGGTAGCCACCAGCTTGGCCACCGTATGAGCAAGCGTAGAGTATGGATTGACATGGAAGACCGGGAACGAGTCCTTGCCCTTCTCGACGCCTTGCTCGGTCAAGATGACGGATATGAAATGCAAGCATGTGTCCTGCAGCAGGGGTAAGCTCGTCGCGTTGGTCAGATGTTTGACATCCGTAGTGGAGATATTGCCGACGACATTCAAGCCATTATCGACAACTGCGACACTCGATAGTCCTTCTTGGCTCATGAGATTGAGCGCTTCGGTCAAAGGGCTATCTGCACTATGCGGGTATTAGCGAAGAATCCCAATACCAGGGTTGTTGTACACGCACTTTACTGCTAATATCTGCTGGGATCCTACGCCAACGTCGTGCAAGAGTCTGGGGTAAAGGTCGTCAATGGCACGGAAGTTGACGCCTTCGTTCCAGAAGAACTCTATAAGCTTTAGTTGGCTGAGGACACCGATAACGTCGGCGTCTTGGTTGGCGACGAGGATTCGGTGCACTCCACTGCCAAACACTTCGATCGCTTTGGCCAAGTCTTCATCTCCCTGTAATATGACGAGCGACTCCTTTCGGCATATCGGTTGAATATCGCGGAGTGGTATGCTTATCCGAGCTTGGGCCTTTTTGGCTAGGGTATCATAGAGCTCGACCAAATCGTCGCTTGGATGCGCCAGCCCGACGACGACTAATATGTAGGCATTCAGATCGTTATAATCGAAGGTCGAGACCGGAACGGAACTGGTAGTGCTCTCTCGTACGACGACTACATTGCTCGAGGAATTCTTAAGAAGCGCCATCGTAGCGTCTTGGACACTAGTGTCCATCTCGACCCAGCTAACATCATCTTTGGATACGAGCTCCCCGATCGCAATATCGCGCCAATCCCTTCCGGCAAAGCGAGGGTTGTGATGTCTTGGGGCGGGCGGGTGATTAAGTAGGTCTTGAATTGCGGCTTGGGTAAAAGAGGGGTGTCGCTGATTTCGAGGCGACGGTGGTAGACCTCTTAAGTTCTCGGCGAAGCTCGAGCGATGGCCATGGCTTATGACATGGCCGGACTTGTGAACGCTCGAAGCAGAGCCGGTTCGCTGAGGCGGCGGAGGCGAAATGCTCGTTTCCTTAGACTCTTTCCCTCCCCTGAAATAGGCCGAGTTAGGATCCATGACGAAGGCGAAAGTAAATCGATGTTGGAGAATTGCAAAGGGGGCTCTTCGCAGGGATCGCCGTTTGCTTTGTGCAAAAGTCGACCTGGGTGGCTCGTAACTTGAAGCTTACGAACTATAGCTACATGTACGAGGTGTATGGGTAGTCTAGGTGCTCATGTGGCGTGCGCAGGGGATCCAAGGTGCAACAAAGATCATATTGGTATCGGATTATTGGTGATGGCGCGAGGCCAGACTGACTATCTTTACAAAAGATTCGATCTTGGGGGTTGCTGAGGGGTTGTATCATAGACTTCGCAGACTTGCTGGCTTCTGCATGACCCCTCGTTACCCCCGAGCCCCCCAAGGTCGTGGACACAAAAATTAGAACACTTTTGGTGAGTATGCCCGCCAAGAATGTTCTAAATTTTATGGCGCTAGCCTCGCCCCCCTACCAGGTGGGTACTCACCTTGTCTACACCGGCTGAGGCTTGCAAATGCGCCTCTACGGGAGGAGCTGGAGCACCGATTTTCTTTATTTACCTAGGTAGGTACATACCTATCAGCCTATCTGCACAGGTTCCTCGAATACATAGGTACCTAAGCTAGGTACCTTTGCTCTAGGCTAGATTGTACTTGCCAGAGATGTTTGTCTCCCACCAACCAGGAGGCTGGCCGGGCAAAACACCATATAATATAAGCGTGCGTCATAGGAAATAAGAATAGGCTGTAAGGGTTAGGTATAAGGTTTTACCGAGCATGAATACCATATCCATTACTTGTATATACAAATATGTCATCTCAACATCCAATTAGTTACTCTATAATCTATGAATGGGAAACTTACTAGCTTATAGGCAACTGCGATCCTCGTAGTAGAAGGGAGATACGTGGCAGCGTGAATAGCAATTCGTAACGCCGTATGCCCACCTACTCGAGGCACGAAACTCCACATCCAATCAAATACGCACTACCTCGAGCTTTGAATACCTATGCGAGACAGGTCTTCAAATCATTATAGATAACAAGCCGAGATCCTAAGATTGCAGTATTGCCGTGCTGGTATCTGGTTGCACGGATGCGGCTGAGTAAAATTCGCATGATAATAAAAGCACAATGAACAGATAGGCCTTTATCGATACACGTGTGTATCTATTTCCCCAAGAGTTGCACCTGGCACAAGTGACTTCACTTTGAGGCTATACCAAACCTAGTCGTTCATTACTTCCGTTTTGAGTTAGCTCCGTTTCCACTACATCGGATTCATTGGAAAACCAAATGTGCACGGACCAAGATCCAGATTAGTACCTAACTATCAGGAAATTTATTTTTTTTTAATGCTGAGCATGGGCAAAAAAGTCCAAGAAACCCATCCCCTCTTCCGCGACCCCTCGCTACCCATTGATAGCAGGGTAAAAAAAATAACACGACGATAATAAAAAACAACACCCCATGTCACGCCAACTTTCTACCTGTGTTCGCTTGGATTTGTTCTAGGATCGATCACCTATACCACTATACACCGAACCTGAACTTCTTACCTACTGCCCTTTCATTTTCACCACTTTCTGATCGATACAACCCAAAGCCGCCGCGTCTTAGCCCTGCGGGGCACATCAACGAAGCGATACGACTTTGGCAACATTGTTCTCTACTCTACTCTTGACTTTCCCAACACCACTCTGCCCCTAACGACAACTTCGACTCCGGTTGCGATAGCTAGTAATTATGTCTGTGCTACCGGCCGAAACTCACGCAGAGCTCACCCAGCTGCTGCAGGCTCTGCAATCGCCCGATAATTCCATACGGTCCCAGGCCGAAGGACATCTACAGAACAACTGGACCAACACGCGACCCGAGATCTTGTTGATGGGTCTAGCTGAGCAAATATCTGCTTCGACCGAAACATCGGTACGTGTTGCTAGCGCTGATATATGTTCTTTTTACAACTTTCAAGACTAACCCTTCTCCCTTCACTCCTATAGCTCCGATCTTTCGCCGCCGTTATATTTCGTCGAATAGCATCGAAGACGCGCAAGTCGGATAAGGGCGAAAGCGCAGAGATATTTGTGTCACTACCTTCCGAGCAGGCATCTGTCATCCGCCAGAAACTACTTGAAACGTTAGCAAGCGAGAGGGATCGCCTTGTTAGGAATAAAATCAGTGACGCTGTAGCTGACGTCGCAAGGCAGTACTCGGAAAGCAGTGAGTTCATAACTGCCATATCTCTTTATAAGCACGCTTCTACACGTAGCCCGCCCTCCATCTAATCTTCATATCATTCACCATGCCTCCTTGTAAAGGCGCGATTTGCAAGCATCGCCGCATCAAAAATAACTTGACCAAAATCATAATTACTAACACGGTTCCAGACGAGCAATGGCCCGAGATTCTCGCCGTCCTCTTTAATCTTAGCATGGCAAGCGACGTAGGTCAGCG